AATACAGAATAAACAGGAACAACATCAAGTATATTAGCAGGAGAGATATGAAACAGAATAAGATAAGAGGATCACATCATCAGAAATAGAGGTACGTGGTTTGGCTTTGTATTTAATTGCCTGATGCTACTGACAATTTAAAAGATGCTCCTTTGATTTGATTTTGAAAGTATTCATGTTGGCAATGTTACTAATGTTTTGTGGTAGGTTGTTCCAGATCTCGGGTCCTCGGATTTGCATTTGTCTTGGCCCTATTTCCGTGTATGACATTTTGACGTGCCGATAGTTAATCTGTCTGGTTTGAAGGCCTGTTGTGTTACCCGTTGTTTGTAGAGGCATTAACCATTGAGGATGAGCACCCAGTGTGAATGAGTACATATGTGTCGTATTGACATTTTTGCTGTACTTCTAACCATATTAATTTATTTATATGAGGGATAATGTGATCATGTTTATTTATATTGTCTATTGCCACTCTTGCGGCAAAGTATTGTAGCTTTTGTGTTTTTTTTTTGCATTTGAGTTTTGTTGGTTGAGCCCATATGTTGGAACAGTAGTTTATAATACAAAGTGTAGGAGGTGTATACAACAGTAATTGTTCTTATCAGTGGGAATTTTGTTTTTATTTTGCTTTGATTTAGTTATATCAGTATGCCCATTACTTTTTTGTAAGTGCTGTCCATGTGTGTCTAATAAGTCGTATATATGTCTACGTGCACTCCTAGATTTTTAACTGAAATGCTTGGTTTAGTAAGAATTGCTTATACAGGTGCATTGAGTTTTACCAAGATTTAGTTTGAGGCTATTGTTGTCAAAATACATCTTTGATTTTGTAAGAGACTGTTGAGTATTTATCCATTTATTTAAATTGCTTACAGGAGCAGCGTGAAGGCACTAAGAGTCATCGACATGTTAAACAAAGAGACTGTTGTTTGCAATGGTTGATAGGAATATGAATAAGATCGGAGCTAATATGGATGGAGCCTTGTGGGACACCGAAAGAGCCTGGTTTCTCAGATGGCATGTTATTACGAATTTTGATTGCGTCGTCCCACTGCGTTCTTGTGGAGAGAGAACTTCTGAATCAGTAGTTTTGAATTCCATGACTTTTCATTTTGTTGAGCAAGATTTTATGGATAGCACTGCCAAATACTTTTGATAGATCACACAAAGTTAGTAGATCTATTTGATTTTGTTTATGTTATCGTAAATTTTGTTTGAGATTTTTAATAATGTTTCAGTTGATAACTTACTTCTAAATCCATGCTCCATTTCAGGATTGAGGTAATGAAGTCTGAGCATACTGATAATTGATTTACATTTTTTAGCACTTTGGGAGTAGTTATTCTTGTCTTAGGATGCCATGTTTCCAAAGTAATGGGTAGGTACCGGTGCTTATAGACGTGTTTATAAAGACAGTTAAATAGAATACAGTTGCGGGTAAGGTTTCTTTGGTGAATCGAAAAGCGATGCTATCCACTCCTACAGCATGCGTTTCACGCACGTGTTTTATTGTTAAACTGTTGTTTCTACTCCTGTTGGTTGCGTTCTGAAGGCATTTGCTGTGAGTTTGTTCTCGCTGTTTTGTGGGGTTGTGGAAGCAGCTCTGTTCATAAGCGAGTCTACCAATAGTAGCTAAGTAGTCGTTTAGATGTTCTATATTACTTAAAGAATCTAAGCAGTGTCTTTGTGTTTTTTAATTGGTACTAATGTTTTTAGTCACTGAACTTATTTTTGAAAATTCTGTTGGCATTATGTTTTAACAATTCTCTTTTTTATATTCAGCCTCAAGGGTGAGTGTTATTTTGGTCATTTATAGCTTTTTAGATGTCGTAATTTTATCCATGGAGCGGGGGGCGTCTAACAGTTCTGATCTTACGGGGGCAGTGGCATCTATGCTATTTTCAGCATATTCGAAAGAATGTCTATTTGTCTATTAACGTCATTAAAGGGTTGACTGGCTGACACTAATATTTTCACAAAGTGACAGGGATCGTAAATTGTCAAGTCACGGGAAGTTTTTATGACGGGTTGTCGCTTTGGCTTATTTATGTCTACTACATAAATTATGGTTCGTGGTCTGCAATTTGGCAAGGGATGACATTAGTATGGGTTATGAGATCGGTTCTGATATAATGACATCTAGTACGGATGAAGTTTTTCTGTGATCCTTGTAGATTTTATTTGTAAGCTGTATTAATTTGTTTTTCTTTTTAAGCCAAGATAACTTTGCATTTGATTTGTTTAAGTGACCAAAGATGAAGAAAAAAAAATGACATGTCTATTTAAACATCTTCGAGATCGTCAGATGAGTCAGCTAAAGCGCAAGGTTGTCTATAGAGTACACCAATGATGAAGGAAGGATACGTAGTGCTTTTCGCAGTTACCCAGATGTCCTCTACAGCTGTATTATCATTTACAGCTGTAATGGAGATCTTAACTGATTTAGGGGTATCTCTTTGATATATGCACACTCCACCCCGCCCTGCATCACATACATTAACATTGAAATTTTGAATATTAATGAAATTACTTGACATTTCTTGATGATTTTTTAGTGATTTTTCACTAATGCAAAGGGTGTCGATATTTCTCTCCGTAATAATTTCAAATTCTTCAAAGTGATCAAGGAGAGATTGCACATTGATATCTATTTTGATTGTATTGCATGAGTTGCTGACTGTGTGGTGACGTCAAACGGCTGGTCGCTTGTTGTACTTGTTTTTGTTCAGAAATACTTTTACATTTTTTTAAAAGATATCTGAATCTATGAAAAATTCTGGGATTATGTCTTTGCATGTCATTGTTACTGTGAAACTAGAATAAACCTAATGCGTCACTTTAGTTTTATATGCCTTTGCACTAGATATATTTTCAAACTTCTGAATAGGAAAGTCTTCTATGTATTCTTCATCTACATCAGGGTGAGAACTTGTGATGTCTGAGTATACTACCTGGGGACGTTCTGCACCCTGTATTGGTCTGGTCGTGATTTTCTTTTCATTTTTTGGGGGGTGATGGTGACGAAACTTTCCTCGTCTTGCTGGTGTGGTTTCTATTCCTCGTCTTTTTCTTGCTCTTCCGGTCGTTCTGTGATGTTGATTACGACCGATGGCACTTGTGATGGTGAGGAGGTGGGGGGGGGGGGGCAGGGACTCCAGGTTCGTGATGTGTTGCGTCGTCCCACTGGCGGCTGGGTGTAAGATTTTTTTCTTTGTTCTTTTTCTTGCTGTTCTTGACAAAGCTTCATCTCGGTGTTACTAGTGACGCTACCTCGCTTCTCATATCAGCAACCGATGCCTCAGCACTGTTGGGGAGGCGCTTGCGTGGTGCCAGGCGGGTAGGAGCTGGCGCGTCAGCAAGGTCGTGGGTCGGCTGGCTCGGAGCGAGTAGAGTGAGTGTAGCGGGGATAGGGTGGCGGTGCCAGGGGAGGGGAGGGGATGCGAAGGAAAGGGTTGGTAGGCTGGATCGAACTGGCCATGGCCAGGGGAGGGGGTCGGGGAATGGAGGGAGGGAAGGGAATCTGTTGTGACTGATGCTTCCTCTCCGCATTCCTGCTTCCCAGTAGGCATCATGCATTGGCCAATCAATTTGTTGATGGTAGATTGCTGGTCGCAGTACATACCAGTCAGGTAGTCTATCTCACTGTCACGTTATCTTGATTGCTGGTTCGTGGTGCGTCTGGGTCCCTTGATGACTTTGTGCAAAAAAAATCCCAAAGGATGTAGAAATACTTGATTTTTGGGTGGTGACAAATCTATGGCTGAAATGTTTGTTGTTGTTGCAAACATTAAATTTTTATTGTTCAAACATTGGTCCATCATAGCAGGCATGATGATCATTATCATTCATTTCATGTCGTGTTCCTTGGTTTTCTAGAGTCTGATAAATCTAGAAAGCTATTATGAGCTTGATTAATCTATTCAGGGCTGTACAATTTTTGATGTGGTCGCACAAGACAATCCTTGCCCATGCTCTCTTTGTTGCATTGAAGAAAAGGATGGTGTTCAACACTATTGTTATGCTGCCCATCTGATGAACTGCTTTTGTTTATATTGTAATCACTATTTTTACTGCTGTCTGCAGTGTCATCACTATATTCACTGGTTGCATCATTATCAGTATTAGGTTTGGAAGTGATATCAGGATTGCAAAAAAGCCCTTTACCCCAGGCAGAGTGGCAGCATTAACCCCAGCTGTTGAGGGGGTGCCCATCATTGTGGACTGGGGTGGGGGCAGCTTTGACCCATGCTACTGAGATACCTCTTTCCTAGGGCAGAGGTCCTGTTACCTTGGTGAGGGGGCATAATATCCTGGGCCGAGGGTCCCTGTTCACTCTGGGGATGAGAGCCAAAGCTAGCTGCCCAAGGAACCACCGGCAAAGCCCCACGGCCGGCCCCCTTTAACCCGGTGAGGGGTGAAGGGGGCCAGGTTGCCCTCTGGCATTATGGGACCATGAAACAGCATGGCTTGCTGAGCAAATATACAGAGAGAGAGAGAGAGAGAGAGAGAGAGAGAGAGAGAGAGAGAGAGAGAGAGAGAGAGAGAGAGAGAGAGAGAGAGAGAGAGAGAGAGAGAGAGAGAAAGAGAAAGAGAAAGAGAGAGAGAAAGAGAAGAGAAAGAGAAGAAGAGAGAGAGAGAGAGAGAGAGAGAGAGAGAGAGAGAGAGAGAGAGAGGGAGAGAATGAGAGAGAGAGAGAGAGAGAGAGAGAGAGAGAGAGAGAGAGAGAGAGAGAGAGAGAGAGAGAGAGAGAGAGAGAGAGAGAGAGAGAGAGAGAGAGAGAGAGAGAGAGAGAGAGAGAGAGAAGAGAGAGAGGGAGGGAGGGAGGGAGAGGGAGAGAGAGAGAGAGAGAGAGATAAAAGTTTATATGAAGTTTATGAAGTTTATATTCTAATTAAGATTTAAATTAAACTGTAATGTCATTCTCACAATGGCAATTGTGATGTCAAAACCATGTTTTGGTAAAAATAAAGTATTGAGGTAGAATTAAAACTGAAATGTATCTTGAAGTCATTTTCATTTACAGTAAATGCACATACACATTACTTGTTTGCTACAATTCTTATTGGTTAATATTTTCCTATTTTATTTACAGTATACACAATAAAAACCCATAAATATTTACATAATACAATAGTATTTACAATCCTCTGGGGGGGAGGGGGGAAATTTACTAATCCAATAAATTACTAAATGCATGACATGGAAATCTATTTTTTCTCAATTTTTTTTTAGTGTGAGAAGAAAAGGTTCTAGTGGATTTATTTGGAGTATATATAGCTTTAGCAATAAAAAGTAAATAATAAAATTCAGCACAAATTTTTTCCTTAGCACTATGACTTCCTAATGTTACTCCTCTTTATCCTGTGTTTTCAAAGCTGAGTTTGGGTCTACTTCCGTGAAACTGTCTGCATCTTTTGATCTGACGCGTATTTTGATGGGTGCTGGAGAATCCTGTAGCTTGGCTTTTTCTTCTTCAGTCGAAGGAATATCTGTGTAGATGTATACTGTGCAGCCAGGTGTCACAAGACCACTTTCATAGGCCAGGGCGAGCTGATTAACCAGGCGACGTTCAACCTGCAATAAGGCACAAACACAAAACATTTTACTGCATGTGTGGCTCTGACCTTTTTTTGAGGTACTATAACATACGTGATTTTAATGAAATTAACAAAATAATTCAACCTGGTTAATTAAGATGTCCTAAATCTGATATAAAGCATATCATAGTTTCCATTACATTACTCAAAGGTACCTGGTACTAATAATAATGGTCAATGGTTACAAAGCAAAATAAATGTGCTACACATCAAAGGTCAGATAGCACTATAAAAAAGTGTAATAGTGAAAAGGGTAAAGAGGGAAGTCAGTTGATGATTAAATATGATACACGTCAAAAGTTGTACAGCAGTTCAGGATAGTAGGGCATTGCAAGAGGCAAAGAGGGGTAAGGGTGGAAAGGGTGAGTAAATAGGCAAAGGTAGGAATTTACAAGGGTGACTGAATCAAGGTTATTAAAGAGTGAAGTGCATGATTCTGCAAGGATGTCCATATGTTTAGGTACAGATTAGTAAAAGGAGAAAGGGGTTTAAGGGCGATTAGTTCACAGTTTCAAGAAAAATGTCAGGAGGGATAAAATCCAGGGAAGGGGGTTGTTATGATAATAATAATAATAATGAAATCTTTAGAAATAAAATATTTAAAAAATCACCTAAGGATTCTTTTCTGTTACCATCAGTAAACACAAGAATTGAACATTCCACAAAAAATTGCTGAACATAAATCTTATACATTTGTAAATCTAAAATCAGATATATTACATTTTCAAAAGTTTTATAGTAGGAATAAAAGCAAATATCACTGCAAACACTTTACTGCACAAAACATAAGCCTGGGATTACATAAATGATTGTACAATACTAAAAAAATATTATGACTTTCTTCTTTTGAAATGTGACAAAGGAGTCCATAGGTAATTTGCATTATAATACCATTACTAAGGGCAAAAAAGGTATCTTACATGAAAGGTGTTGCCATGAATCTTAAATCTACTAAGATATATATATTCGCTGACAACTAGATTTCCTCTATCAGATTAAAAAACCTTCTGAAGTTGCCTTTACAAAACACAGGTAACCTTCAAATCTATGAGGTCATTCTCACCCATACACTGCACAACCATGGCAAATATTTTTCTACTAACCTCATGTTTAATTGAACGTGCCCCATAGTAAACATTATAGCCATCAGCCAAGACATCCAAAACCATGGGATCCCACTTCATCTCAATGCTATGCTTCTCACGAGCCTGTAAGAAAATTACCTCTTTAGTGCCTACAATCTTCATCTTCAAAAGAGAATATATACAACACTGTATCAAGGACCTCATTATGTAAACTAATAACTATCTATTAGTATCTTCAAAACTACTGTGACTTAATAAAATTTAAGTAGGGTGCAGAGAAAAAATGGAATGCAATCTATATTTTTACTTTCTTCTATTTCAATATTAGTTCTTTAGAATTCTTCACAAGAATTCTAAGGGGGAAAACTGCACACCTGTTTGACCCATTTTTCAAGTTCCATCCTCACAAGCTTCAAAAGTTCTGATCTTGAAAATGGCAAGAAATAAACTATTTCATTTATTCTTCCTAGAAACTCATCTCTCTGGAAATGACTCTTCAGAATAGGACGAACAATCTTCTCTTTGAACCTGCAAAGAAATTTTGAGGTTAAAAGTTTATATAAAAGTTTTACATACATACATACATACATACATACATACATATATATATATATATATATATATATATATATATATATATATATATATATATATATATATATATATATATATAATATAAAAATATTGACAGATAGATAAATATAGATAGTAATAGATATATATAATGTATGTGTATGAGTGCGTGTGCATATGCATGTGCTTGTGTGTATGTTCATGTGTTTGTATATGTGGATTGTATGTGTATATAGATATATGTACATGAATATGTACAGCTTAAAGGTCCATATATGTATACAGGTATAAATATGTTTAAAGGTATATGCAGGGTTGGTGCAATTTATATCAGATGTTTTAACCACATGATTTAAAACAATTCAAATAAGAGTAAAAAACATCCTGAGTGAAATCAATTCATCTTTTAAAATACATTTTTTTCCATTTCAGTTTAGAATAGGTATCCTTGAATATATTCTTACTACCACAGATTTCTGTGTGTTTGTGTGAGTGTGGGTGGGTGTACTGGTTATGTGTGGGTGGATGCTACTATGAGTGGATACATATATGTATAATAAATGTTAATATACATCAATCCTTATGAATATAGTACCCATTCCTGTGTTAGAATAAGCAATTGCAATATATCCAATATTGTATATGCATACTCTAAAAAAATACTGAATATAGAAGCCTCAAACTCAGTTCAATCTGGAGTTACAGGAGGCAACAACCCCTTCTGTTAATGTCACAGACAAACAACATGTCCTTGGAGTGCTTCTCATCGCTTAGTCTCAAACCCATAAGCTGATACTTTCTGCACAGTATGATAACCTATAATGCCTTTAATTCCACACTTATTTTGTTTTAGATATATTCCTCAATACATGTGCCTGTGGGAAAAAAAATGACACAAGGAGAGGAAAATAAGTATAAGTAGAAGGATATTGTAACCCTTCTTTCACAGAACGAAAAATCTGATGATAACTTAAGCTTTCTAGACACACATATGCCTGGATTAAGGGGATTACTGGTGCATGTGTAAACTTAAAAAACTTAAGAAAAATTAAATACTGTAACTTAAATTGTGAAATGAATCTTATTACTGAATATCAAACATGACACATCCCTACAAGTAAGAGTGCTATCCTTCTTTCAAGTGAAATATACAATCCAACTATAACACAAACTTTCCAATTTTATATACTTATATCAGCATAATCAATGGTGTTTATAAAATGTATTATGAATTTAGGAAAACTGTAACCGTAAGAAGCAAAAGCTATTATTCAATAATGTGTCAAATTAACAATTGTGATACAGCCCTGTCAGCTGAATGAATCAATATCCAGATATTGTCAAAACTACTTGTCAAATAAATCTTAATTGCTTATTAACTTCATCATATGACATCAAAGAGAAAGGTGATTGCTCTGGCCATCATCTTTACAGGTTAAACAATAAAGAAAAGAATTCTCACCTCCGTGATACGGTGATAGTCTCAGTAATTTCTAGATCTTCAGGCTGTCCTTCATATCTAGTTTTGCTAATTTTATCAGCTTCTTCTCTCAGCTGTATTCCATATTCAGCAATCTCATCACTTGCAAGGTTTGATGTCATGATGAAGATTGCATCCTGCAAAGAAAATATAATACTGAATGTCATGTTACTCATCCAAAATAGTTACTCTAACTTTTACAAATGACCTTCCATATATCTTAACTTGTTTAGTCTCTAATACAATAATAACAAAAAATTTCATTGTCCTATTACCTTACACTCAATAGTCTTTCCTTTTCCATCAGTTAGTCTGCCTTCATCGAACAGCTGCAGCAGAATGGTAAGAACGTCAGGATGTGCCTTTTCTACTTCATCAAATAAAACCACAGCATTGGGACACTCTCTTAGCTTCTTGGTTAGCTGCCCTCCATCGTCATGCCCAACATATCCAGGGGGGGAACCAATGAACTTGGCCACTTCATGCCTCTGCTGGTACTCTGACATGTCAATGCGAATGAAAGATGATTTCTTTCCCTTGTGCAGATATTCAGCCACTTGCTTGGCCAGCTCTGTCTTACCTATTCCTGAAGAACCAAGGAAGAGGAACACAAGCGGATGTTCTTCATCATACCAACCATTCTCTTTCCTCCTTATGGCACCAGCAACCGTTGCTATGGCTCCCTCTTGGCCAATTATTCTCTGTTTGATTCTTTGTTCTAGGGGAAATTTCCTTCGTTCTTCCATTTCCTCCTTCTTTTGCTTGGCAATGTACTTTTCAGAATGCCTCTGCATCATTGTCCTCATTCCAATATCCCTCGAGTAATCTTCTGGTTTGAAACGATATTCATTTTCCAGCATTGGGTTTGCACCAGCATCTAGTAATATCTGAATACTCTCTGGGTCATTGGCAAGTACAGCATAGTGGAGGGCTGTACACCCACGGAACATTCGACTATGGTTGAACAATGTGCAAAACTCACCCTCTCTTATCGCTTCAACACTTACAGGTGATGTTCTGTTTTCACGTGCAACCTGGAAAAGGCAAACAGAGTTATTAAAGTAATTCATAATGAATAATATGACAATGAATAAAATCACAAATTTTAATTCTATAACTAAATCCTGCTATTTTTTAGTGTATGTAAATTACTGTTACAATATATCTACTTCATTTGTAGCTTTTATTCACTGCCTTATCTTTAATGACCAGTGATAAAGTTCTGAATGAACATTATTTGTAATTCTTACACCTGAAATGCCTATCAGCTATATTACAGTATTTACATTCCAAGTTTAGGGAAAAAGTACTATATTAATCTTTAAAAAACACCAGAATTTTCACAAATTTTCCAAGAAAAAAAAAAAAACTAACATTCTAATTAAAGAAAAAAAAATCAAAGTAAAATTTATTACAATTTCTAATTACTCTTCCTATAATTGTCTTACATAGTAGATCACCATTAACAAAACTTGTATTCATTTATTACAAATCAACATATTCTTACTGTACCCTACCTGATATATATTTGAAAAAGTATCTGCCAAGTTTGGATCCGCCCCATTTTTAAGTAAGAATCTCACAGCTTCTGGACGACTATTAGCAGCTGCTGAATGAAGTGCCGTCCAACCATACGGGTGACGACAATTTACATCCACGCCCTTCTTTAGGTATTCCTTGAAAAGGGTAAGGAAAAATAAATTATAGAGACACACACTATATCTAACAGCTCTTACATATAAAGTCTAAGTGGGAAAAGATGGTTAATTTAATTTAATTTCCTTTGCAATAATCAAAGGAACATATCTGGAAAAAATAACAATAATCTGCACATAATTGCCATCACACATATAATGGTGAAGCATAATAGGCGAGTGCATATCACCCTCAAAACTTCAAACTAGGTGTTATGTTGAATATTTCAAATTGAAATTACAATAATTCATTCAGCCATCTGTATACATAAATATATATAACTCAAGTAATTAAGTGTTAATCATTTGTTCCTTTCTTCCAAAGAAATTTAAAGAAGGTAGAAAAATCTTAAAGATTTAGCAGGACAAATGATGAGTGAGTCTTACTATATCTACTTGTTTGAATACAGGTGGTTCTGGATGCCTCTTGAACAAATTCATAATTCATAATTCTATTTTATTATAACCATTAGCCCACTATACAGAAACATAATACACAGTATAAAAAATAGCAGCATTAACTATGGTTTCCATATTTGGATAAAATTAATCTTAGTAACTTGCTAAGAGACAAATGGTGCACAGTATCTAACTTCATCAATTGGAAACAATGTCATGAATCTTAGTATACTGTCTCAGTTTTATCCAGTCCAATAACTAAAAATCTGTACTGATGGTCTCCTCTACTAAAGAAGAGAAAGCCTGAATCCTACGACAAATTTGAAGCAGGTGACTCAAAAGCCAAAAGCATGTACAATGTCATTATACTTGTGACTTTTTATGAACAATAAAATGTAATCCTCTGGCTGTTCTTTTCCTCTTATATTATAGTTATAGCACAAATTTTGCTTATTGCTTCATGAGTTCTAATCTATTCACGAATACCAACAGCTATGATGCGGCTCACACCCTGGCCCCTGGAATGGTTAGGAAGACCAAATACCCATGTGACATATTACCTCCATCCTAGGAATATTCCCAACCATTGCAGCCAGGAGGAACTCGCGCTCGTTGACGTTCTTCTCTCTGTTCATGTCCCAGCAGAAGGCCGTGACCAGTCCGAGAGTGGCCGGCAAAGAGACGTCCATTTCTCGGGATTTCCATCTTGACCTCCAGTGACCTTTACCCTCGTGTCTACTCCGCTGAAAAGCTTGCCAGCACATGACGCTTAAGGGCACACGGTTTATTTCCTTTAATTCCAGGACATGGTTTGTAGTTCTCGTGGATGGGAAGAGCGAGTTCCTCCTCAGCGGGATGAAGGACCTGGAACATTGCATAATTTCTGGCCTCGCTAAGTGGAAAGACTGGATATTTTTCGCGCATTGTTTGCTTTGAAATGAGATCACGCCTCTCAAGTACACAAAGAGTTTTAATTTTCTCATATTGCCACTTCCTGCAGTGCTAAGTTGGTGCTGAATAAGAGAGGAATCGTGGCGAGCCTTGAGGGCCTGCCACTCGAACTGAG